ATCCGCCGGCGACTGGGGCGGCTACCAGTGCGATTGATGATCTACCCCTTCAGCTGCTCCTTCTCCGCGGTAGTACATGGCCGCGTCGCGCCAAAGAGCCCTCTGAACCGATGTCGTGAAATCGTCGAGAAGATCTGCCAGATCCTCAGCTCCTGTGAGTTGGTTGCCAGGAAGCGACCGCTCGATGCCCTCGTTATTGCACCCGTCTCCTGGAAGATGCCATCGCGAAGGCGCGATTGGACTCCATCCGTAGTGTAAAAGAAATGTGATGGCAGCACTCATAGGCCTACGAACGCGTCTTGGTCTCTCTGCGATGTCCATCGCTCGTAACTTGCCAACGACCGCTGCCCAAGGCTTATGCGCTGATGGCCTGATTGCACGGTCCGTCGCCCACAACTTCAGCCACTCTGTCAGGCATTCGCGCCCGAGCGTGTTTGTTGGATCCTGGCCTGGCGTCCGCAGGTCTAAGGTCGTGGTCGTGCACCTCCCGCGCTTGCTAGCCCCGCGAACTGTTGCAAGCCTGCTTCGTAGGCGATGCAAGTCACCTCCTAGCACGCCGAACACTTGATGACCGTATTATGCTACAGCCTGCGCACTCACTCTCTCTAGCTTGGGCATGACCTTGTATTTTGAAGTCGCTCGTGCCCACCTCGACATCTTAGCGTGCCGTTGACTCGATTTGACCACGCGTTGTCTCTGCGTTGATCCGCCAAGCCTCTTGCCCGCCCGTAGATCGATGCCCAGATGGCGCCTGCAGGACTGGCAGCAAGCGACGCCCTCTCCTGCGAAGCGCCGCCGTAATCGCCTTGGCCAATCCACGCTTCGAAGCCAGCAGGCCACTCTTGGAGGCAACTGCTGAGCGAGCTTGAGCCGAGAATTCCGCATCTGGGATGGAGTCGACCAGGGCGTGAACATCCCGTCGCTCGGAGCCCACGGTGGATTCGTTGAGGTCGTCAACCCAGATGCGCGTTTTGACGAGAGGATGCGCGGTGGTGAGCCTCTTGAGGATAAGATGAGTGCAATATTTTCGGAACCTCGCCCCATCGCGCAGTCCCGGCACTATGGGCTGTGCCATTTGAAAGGCAAAAGACGCGGGGCCAGGCTGCGTGAGCGCAAGCGCCGCCGCGCACAACTGCAGCTCCAGCATCAATGCCACCGGGGGAAATTCGAGATCCAGCGCTGCCTCGACGAGGCCGTCCCATAGCACCGCGTCGTAAAATGATTGTATTATTGCATGGTTGTAAATGGCCCTGGGATAACCGTGCACCTTCATGCAACGTCTTGAGACATGCTTCTCGGAGCGCTGAGTTGCCTGCGACGGCCGCATCCCAGTGAGCAGCTTCCTCAGCTGCCCATGGTTTGACATTAACCGCATGCCGATGATAATAAAGGGACCCCCCCCCCCCTTCAGTGTTTAGAGTTGATTATCGTCGCCCTATACAAAATTCAAATTGGGCGGCGAGCGCTGAGGCCGAACTTCATTATCACCTCGAAACGCGATGTTGAGATAGCAACATCAAGCGATGTTGATATAGCAACATCAAGCGAAGCGATCACACTGTTTCAGGATATGTCAAGCGAAACCTTATACTTTCCTCTTCTTCTTTTATATTTCTATCTGTCCTCACGCTCGCCTGAACTTTTGTATCCCTGGGGTTGATTATCCATGGAAAATGAAGCACATGAGCTACCCTACACGAGCACTTTTAAAAATCAATGTTCATAAAGCGTTTGTAAATCAAAATTGATAGATTTGTAACTTTGGATTGTTCCTTTATTCGTCCTCTTCTTATTCTCCTCTTCTTCTTCTTTCTTATTCTTCTTCTACTGGATTCTTCTTCTTTTATATTTCTCTCTGTCCCCACGCTCGCCTGAACTTTTTTATCTCTGGGGTTGATTATCCATGGAAATTGAGGCACATGAGCTACCCTACACGAGCACTTACACAAAAAACATACAGCGCTTGTAAATAAAATCTAATAGATTTGAAACTCGAGATGTTTTCTTCTCTTCGTCTTTCTCCTCCTCCTATCTTTCTTTTTTTTTTTATTATTTAGTATTTTTTTTTTTAAAAAAAAAAAAAAATATTTCATGTCTCAAAACGTGCTCGGCTTGGTCTCCTCTTGATCATCTTTTACTTCGAGATTATGCTGAGGTCTGCTGGGCTACTTGTATTATCTCTCCCTGAACCCCGAACTTTATTATCCCCTAGTGTTTATTCTCACGGGCATGAGGTTACTTTCCCTGATCAATGATCAAATACGGCAAGTCATGCATAACAGTCCGAATGCTCTGTTGCCCGTGCTTATCTTCGGCAGGAGCCTGCCTATGGTTATGAGCAATTGCCAAGTCCACGTGAGCTCCTGTTCGATATTATTGAGGATGGCGACGAACTCTTGCCTTCCATCAACTGGCAACCGCTGTACATCTAAAGCCGTCAAGCCATCAGCGCCCAGCCCTGCTTTCGGTTTCGTCCGCTAGAGAGCGTGGTCCAACTCTTGCAGTGCGATTTCTGGCAACCGTTCAATCTCAGCTTCAATTCTGAATGCATCGGGACAACTCGATGACTTTGCCTCTGTCCACTGTGGCTGATGACCAGAAGTTTTGAAAGTGCTGTGCCTTGTGATCGACCACGTCCACAGGATGATACAACATGTTCTGACCTGCTACTAGAATTTCGTTGTTCGGTTTTGGAGCGTCCTTGAAACTCCGAAAGAACAGGCTCGTGCCTTCGTTGGCGTTGACCCAGTCTCGGCATTTTTGCAAGGGCTGTGTTAGGGCCCTTCCCTTGGCCCGACTGGCCAGTCTTGCCGCTGACTCGACCAACCATTGAATAATTGCAATTGAAGCCTTTCATATACATGCCAATCGTCGCTGCAATGTGTCCCATGTCGGGTCAGTGTCTCTCAAAATGGTGTGAGCCCCTTCTGGGAGATCGGAGCTGAGTCTCCAGCATGCCTGTGCCAACTCCGCTTGCCGTGTTTTGCCGTTGTCCTTTAACTCGATGTTCATGCAGTTGTTCCACAACAGTGTGCACTTCCTGCCGCCAGTTCGTGATCCGATCTCGAAGGGGAGAATGGCGCACCTTGTTTGGCTGGCGCAAGTGCTTGAGGGTCAGAGTAGGGCCGGCTGCACGACCACGAGATTGAACATTTCGCTCGTTGATTTGACCGCTATGATGATCCAAAACAGCGTTCTCCACCGCTGTGACCCAGCGTGCAAAGCGAGAAGAAGCCCCCGTCACTCTTGAGCCACCAGCCGAAAAAGCTACGGACTGACGAATGGGCTGTCACACTTCATCGAGGGCGTGCTCCGTATCTCCGATCTGCCGACGGTGCTTATCCCAAGTCTCTGTCGGCATGTGAAACTCTGGCATGCGCCCCTGACCAGCCACGTCTTCGGAATTTGTGCTTGAACTCTGCCCTTGTGCTGGGGATGGATGATCTCCTCCTCCTCCTCCTCCTTCTCCTCCTCCTCCGCCTCCTCCTCCTCCTCCTCTGTTCGCCTCTGTACGAGCCTCTACATGTTGAGAGCTCGATGCTGATGCCCCTTTTGTATGGCGACGGCCACCCTGCTGCGAAAGGGCCAGATGAGCGACGCAAAAAATGGGTCGTCTGCGCCGACATTGGCGCGTAAGCTGCCCGAGTAAGTTCTCGCGTGAGCACCCTCGCTTCAAATGTGGAGTGCCGCGCGGGCGACCCGCGTTGGCCATCGCGTAAGGTTGCTATGCCATCTCGCGTAAGACCAGCTTTTGCTCGTCACTCTGATGTCGTCTGTTGTACGATTTCCTTCGAGCATATCGATTTGCAGGAAGTCCCATTTATCTGAGAGGGCGTGATCCACCGCCGCTTTACCTTGGAAAATTGCCAACCTTTTCCTCCGGAACCCGGCCCCCCCCCCCCTCCCGCTCGAAACCTGGGGTTTCACTACCGGTCGAACCCTCCCCCCCCCCCCCTCCGGATCCGGAAAATCGGGGGGGGGTCACTATCGGTTCGAACCCCTCCCCCCCCCCTACCCTCCTATCCGGAAAACCGGAGGGGGTCACTACCGGTTCGAACCCCCCCCCCCCCTCTATTCACCGCCAGCAAACGACTCCCGGTCCCCACCACCGTCCGCATCACATCCCCCACTGGTGTTCCCAGCACCACTGTCCTCACCACCGCTGTCCCCACTGGTTCCACCACCGCCCCTACTGTCCCCACCAGTGCCCCCACCACTGTCGCACTGTCCCCACTGTCCCCACCACTGTTCCCACCACGGTTCCACTCTCCCCACTGTCTCCACGGCCCCAACCACTGCCCGACTATCCCCACTGTCCCCACTGTCCCACTGACTCCTCCGCTGTCCCACTGAGCTGTCCCACTGTTCCCACCACTGTCCCCACTGTCCCCACCACTGTCCCCACTGTACCTCTGTCCCATTGTCCCACCGCCGTCCTCGCCACCGCCTTCACCACTGTCCCCACCACCATTGTACCCTCCACTGTCCCACTGTTTCCACCTCATTCCCATTGTCCCCACACCACTGTCCCCACCACCACCGTCACCACCACTGTCCACTGTCCCCCCCTGTTCCCACCATTGTCCCCACCACTGTCCCCACCACTACCGTCCCCACCACTGTCCCACTGTCCCACTGTCCCCACCACTGTCCCGCTATCCCCTCACCACTGTCCCCACCAACACCGTCCCCACCACTGTCCGCACCCCCACTCGGTTTTCGAGGGGGGGGGGGGGGTTCGAACCGGTAGTGACCCCCCCCGGTTTTCGAGGGGGGGGGGGGAGGGGTTCGAACCGTTAGTGACCCCCCCCTCTTTCATGATGAGCTGGGGGGGGGGGGGGGAGGGGTTCGAACCGGTAGTGACCCCCCCGGTTTTCCGGAGGGGGGGGGGGGGGGAGGGGTTCGAACCGGTAGTGACCCCCCCAGGTTTTCCGCCAGCAGCGGTAGAACACGCTCTTTCATTTATCTCCTCAGCCGTCGCCGGCGGCACCGAGGCGGAGGGCCTCGTGCCCGTACACGACGTGGGCCTGTTGCGGCAGCTGCAGGAGCTGCTGACAAGGTCTCACAAGGACAGACCGGCGGAGCCAACGGGTTGTCCTAGTCATCTTCTTCGGCGACGGGAGGGAGGGGGAGGAAATCGAGGAGAAAAGGGATTGTAGTCCTAGATTTTGTTTATATCTCTCTCTCTTGTCTCTCTGTCTGTCTCTCTCTCTCTCTCTCTCTTTGTGTCGATATCTCGCCGTCCAAATAATTGCATGCATAACTATATATTTAAAACTGGAAGTACGTGCGTCCACACATACATATACATATATATATGTGTGTGGTGTTGCTTCTTCTCTAGATATCTACACACGCGCATACATACATACGCACGTGCGCACGTACGAGCATATATCCATACATACGTACATGTAGACATAGATGCATACATACAACTATACGTCTATATATACATACAAACATACACGCATACAACCGTGCGTACATGCATGCATGCATACACATATACACACATACATACATACATACATACATACATACATACATACATACATACATACATGCATACATACATACATACATACACATGCATACACACGCATACACATATACATACATCCATGCATACACACATACATACATACATACATACATACATACATACATGCATGCATGCATGCATGCATACATACATACATACATACATACATACACACAAACATACATACATCCATGCATACATGCACACATACAAACATACATACATACATACATACAAACATGCATGCATGCATGCATACATACATACATACACACATCCATACATACAGACACACATACACACACATCCATATTTACATACATACATACAGACATACATACATACATTTACATGCATACATGCATACATGCATACATGCATACATGCATACATGCATACATGCATACATACATACATACATGCAAGCATACACGCATAGACATATACATACATAACCACCTACATACATGCGTACTTTCATACATCCAGATATGCATGCGATCGTGTACATGGCCCACCTACATATACATGTGTATACATATATGTATGTATGTAGATATAGGCATGCATACATGCATCTATGTATGTGTACAGGTCTTTCTTCATATATTTGTATACCTATAGTTGCATCTAGATATGCATATATATATATATGTGTATATATATATATACATCTGGGTAGGGAGTCGGGGCCCTTCTCCCAGCTGCCCGCGCTCGCCATGGGGGCGCCGGGCTCCCCGTGGACCCTCCACAGTGGCCCGAGAGCCGCTTAAACGGCTTCCGCTGGATTCGGAGAGGCACCAACAATCAGAAGGTCTCCAGACGTCCCGCGTGGCTTTCGACGGCCCCACATAGGTTCAAGACGGCTCCAGAGAGCTCGATCAGCGCTCCCCAGAGGACCCCAAGAGGCAAACACCTTGATTCCTCTCGCTTCGCGGGGTGCACGTCCAGACCACGTACAGTCCAGTCGTTGCGGATACTCCTGGGGGGCCTTCGCTGACGCGCTTTTCGACCGCCACAGGAGTACCGCAAGGAGCCCGATTCGGCCGCCGAACAGTATCGCAATGCTTTTGTTCGGGCCCCGTGGGCTCTTTTTCCCAACCCTCCTTGACTGGGTATTCGTTTTGAACAGACACTGCGGTCGCGTCCTTCTACCTCCTCCTCCCTCCTGCCTCCTGTCTCCCGCGAGACCTCGCCGTCCCCGGGAGAGGGGCTGCGATCTGCGACATTGTCGCACTCTGGAGGGCTGCTGGTGGGTCCAGCGGAGTGAGGCATCGCGCAGACCTGAGCGGGACCTCGCCGTCCCTCGGGGGCTGCGATCTGCGACACGATCGCCACTTTCGAGGGCTGCTGGTGGATCCAGCGGAGTGAGGCACTGCGCAGACCTGAGCGGGACCTCGCCGTCCCCGGGGGGCTGCGATCTGCGACGCTGTCGCCGCTTTCGAGGGCTGCTGGCGGGTCCAGCGGAGTGAGGCACCGCGCACACCTGAGCGGGACCTCGTCGTCCCTGGGGTGTTGCGATCTGCGACGCTGTCGCCACTTTCGAGGGCTGTTGGTGGGTCCAGCGGAGTGAGGCACCGTTCAGACCTTAGCGGGATCTCGCCGTCCCTGGGGGGCTGCGATCTGCGACGTTGTTGCCACTTTCGAGGGCTGCTTCTGGGTCCAGCGGAGCAGGAACAGGAGCAGGAGCAAGAACAGGAGCAACAACAGGAGCAGAAACAGGAGCGAAAACAAGAGCAGAAAAGGAGAGGCAGGAGGGAACAGAAAGACCACGGTTGAGAAGGAGGAGGAGGGAGAAGAGGGGTGGAGGAGGAACGATTAAGGAGGATGCGTAAGGAGGAGTCTGAACATTTGGGGAGGAGCAGGGGGATCGGGAGGATGAGGATGGCGTGGGGGATGCGGCGGCGGAGGCGGAGAAGGATGCAAAGGCGGTTCTGCAGCAGCTGTTGCAACTGCAGAAGCCAGGAGCACAAGCGGGAGCAGGGCAGGCCAAAACGGGAGGGGATGATAACGTGCCCGGGGGGGAGGAGGAAGAGGAGGAGGAGGAGGAGGTGGAGGAGGAGGAGGAGGAGGAGGGGGAGGAGGAGCAGGAGCAGGAGCAGGAACAGGAGCAGGAGCAGAAGCAGGAGCAGGAGCAGGAGGAGGAGGAGGAGGAGGAGGAGGTGGCAGGAGCAGTAGAAAGATGCAGGAGGAGGAGGAAGGGGAGGTTGGAGGAGCAGCAGTACCGGGAGGGAGACTGGGGGGAAGGACGGGGCGAATGAGCGGATGAGGACGACGGAGTGGGAAGGGGGGGGGGCGCGGGGACGGGGCATGGGAAGGGCAGCGGGGGTGCAAAGGCCTGGGTAGCGCTGGAAGTGGTCCGGTCAGCTCCCCGTCGCCTGTCGCACAGCACCGCCGGGGGAGGAGGCGGAGGCGGAGGGAGGAGGAGGAGGAGGAAGAGGAGGAGGAAGAGGATGAGGTTGAGGAGGAGGAGGAGGAGGAGGAGGAGGTGGATTTGCAGTGTAGTGTTCATGCCCGTGAGGGTAGACATAACCTTGTGAAGGTGCTCGTTGTGGTTGGGATGACAAGCTTTCTTGTCCCAAAGCCTACGCAGGGTGTGTTGTTGGCACCTGGTGTCGGTGGATGGTATGCGTGGTCAGCATACCCCGCGACAACCACATCTGTTCGACACATTCGGTTTGGCGGGGCTGGCATCCCTAGAAGATGGGTTGCTTGACGGATGGATCTCTGATCAGAGGATGGCTGGCATCCCACAGACAGGCGTCAGACGCTGGCTCCCTAACCTAGCGGGGAGGCCCGGAGCAGCTCACCGGGACCACAAGGCAGGACGGCTTGCTACCCAAGTTGGGGCAGGGGGGCCTGCTACACCGCAGGGGGGATCGCCATCCTGGCGGCGACAGGGGGGGACCCGCTCCGCATCGGGGCACCACGGGGCCATGGTCAGCAGCAGGCCGGGACGCCATTTTAGGGGTGACAAGGGGGCACCTGCGCCATCGCAAGTCGTATCGCCACCCCTGGGGTGAGGGAGGACGATGCGGCCCCCCTCCACTGCCGCCGATATCTGTCTTGTGGTGTAACCAGAGGGACCTGTTCCACAGGATGGCCGACCGCCACACTGGCGGCTTGCGGGTGACACCAGTCGAACCCATGGACAAGAAAGCTTGAAGACTGCGAGACACGTATCAATTTCTGAAGGTTTTTAAAGAACACCCCCTCCCAACAATGGAAACGAGTTCTGTTTTCGGAAGAGGCAGAGGGGGAACGAGGAGGTGAAGAAGGATAATCCAGAGATGATGACGGAGGAGGAGGAGAAGGAGCAGCAGGAGCAGGGAAGGAATCTGATCGTGGCTTATGGGTCGGCGAGGAAGTCGAGGTGGAAGCCTCCTCGTTCTCGTTTCCCTCCCGGCATACCTGCCTCCGCCTCGTCCTCTGCCCCATTCTCCTAAATGTCTGTTTCGCCATCCTCCTCGCTCTGCGTCCCTTATCGTTTCTCATTCCCCAGTGGCCCACCCCTCCCTGCTCTTCCTCCTCTTCCTCGTCCGTTAGTTGTCTTCTTTGCCAGCATCCCTGTTTCTGCCCATATGTTTCCTCGTCATCTTCTCACCGTTCCCCTTCTACGTCTCCTTCGAAGCCTCCTACCCCGTTCACATCCTGGTCATGGTCATCCCTCTCCTTCTCCTGCCCCCCCACCCCGTCATGCCGCACAATACATGTCGCGTCTCCTCAAACATTCTTACCACTACTGCTACTGCTGGTGCTGCTTCTGCTGCGACTGCTTTCACTGCCCACTGCGCTGCTGCTGGGGCTACTGATGCTGCTACTTCTGCAACCACTGCTGCAGGTACTGTCGCTGCCCCTTCCTAGGGGAACATACAGTGACATAAACATAAAAACTCGGAGGTCCGCGCGAAGTTCTCGGATCGGCGCTGGGGCCCCCCCAGCGGCGCCTCCGGCGCCGCCCCTAGCGCGCTCCGCGCGCCAGGGAGGGGGGTCCAGCGCCGATCCGAGAAATCCGCGTGGACCTCAGAGTTTTTATGTTTATGTCACTTGTTGTTCCCCTACTTCCACCCTCTGCTCGTTTCCTCTGGCCCCCCCTTCTCTTCTGCCCATCTTCAGAATGCATGCTCGACCTCCGCCCTCCTCAGCATCTCCCTCGAGCCCTCCCTCCGTAAACCCTTCGTCGACCTTCTCCATCCCTCGACCCCCTCCTTCCTCCCTCCCTCGACCCCCTCCCTCCTCCCAACCTCCTCCCTCCCCCTCCCTCCTCCCTCCCCCCTCCCTCCCTCCCTCCCTCCTCCCTCCCTCCCTCCCTCCCTCCTCACTCCCTCGTCCCCTCCATCCCTCTCCCTTTTACCTTCTCCCAGCATGCTTCTCCGTCTCCCCCTCCATCCAGCCGGGCAGCGTGCAGCCATGCTTTGCTTCCCATCGCGCCGCCCAGCCCCGAGGAGACAGACAATTGGACGCGGGATCGCGGGTGTTCCATGTGGGGAGCTGTGAGGGAGGTGTCGTTCTTCCTTGCCTCCTCGTTCTTCCACCCCCTGGATCCCGCCCTCGCTAATGCTGGCCCCTCTGCCCTCCTCTCTCCTCCTCGTCCCCTTCCCCTGTCTCCCTCTTGTTTCCTTGGCTTCGGAGCCTGCCCAAGTGTGCGTGTGCGTCGTTAGTTGTAGCACGGACCCTCGGGCATGGCCAAAACTTTCCAAAACGGTCCCTATTGTTTCCCTCCCCCTCTTCTCCATCCTCTACCTTCCCCTCTCCCTCACCTCCCCCCCTTCCCCATCCCCCCCCCTCCCTCCCATCCTCACGTGTTTGCCTCCTCGCTCCCCCCTCCTGCACATCCTCCTTTGGAGCCCCCCTTCGTCCACGGCGTGGGCGGCTGCAGCCTCGCGTGCGCCAACCAGAACCGGCTGCCCGTACCGTCCGGCTACAGCCTGAGGCGGGCATCCAGCTCGAACACCCCCGCACGAGACGCGGAGGTGGAGGCGGAGGGGTAGGCAGAGGAGGAGGAGGAGGAGGAGGAGGAGGAGGAGGAGGAGGAGGAGGAGGAGGAGGGAGGAGGGGGGAGGAAGGAGGAGGAGAGAGGGAGGTAGGAGGAGGAGGAGGAGGGGAGAGGAGGGGAGGAGGGGGAGGAGGAAAGGAGGAGGGGAGGAATGAGGGGGAGGTGGACGGGAAGGATAGGAGGAGGAGGAGGAGGGAGAGGGAGGAGGATGAGGAGGGGAGGAGGAGGAGGAGGCGAGGACGAGGAGGGGAGATATGAGGGGGAGGTGGACGGGAAGGAGGAGGAGGAGGAGGAGGAGGAGGACGGGAGGAGAGGAGGGGGGAGAGGAGGTGGACGGAAGGAGGGGATGTGGAGGAGGATAGGAGGAGGAGAGGAGGAGGAGGAGGAGGAGGGGAGGAAGCGGGAGGAGGGAGGAAGAGGGAGGAGGAGGAGGAGGAGGAGGAGAGGAGGGAGAGGAGGAGGAGGAGGAGGGAGGAGGAGGAGGAGGAGGAGGAGGAGGAGGAGGAGAGGAGGAGGAGGGGAGGAGGAGATAGGAGGGGGAGGAGGGGAGGAGGGGGAGGGAGGAGGAGGAGGAGGAGGAGGAGGAGGAGGACGGGGGAGGAAGAGGAGCAGAAGGAGGCGGAGGAGGAGGAGGAGAAGGAGGAGGAATAGGAGGAGGAGGAGGATGAGGAGGATGTGGCGGATGAGTGCCTGCCTCCTCACCTCTTTCACCGTGGGCGCCCAGTGAGCATCGGCGGACCTCAGCTAGGATCAGCGCCCTTGGTTCGAGCGAAGCAGCAAGAGGAGGATCCCCGTCGTTCCCCGTCGCCTGCGCTGTTTACTCCTCCCCCATTCTCCACCTCCTTCTCCTCCTCCTCCTCCTCCTCCTCCTCCTCCTCATTCTCCTCCTATATACTCATGTTCCTCGTCCTCCACCTCGTCCTTCTCATCATCCTCGTCCTCCTCCTCCTCCTCATCATCATCATCATCATCAGCAGCAGCATCAACATCGTCCTCATCATCAGCAGCAGCACCAGCATCATCATCATCATCATCATCATCATCATCAGCATCATCATCATCATCATCATCAGAGTCTCTCTGGCTCAGGCACCTGCCTGTTCGAGGGCTTCTCGGGCGCACCTGCGCTCACTGCGGCGGCGGGTGCGGGCGGCCTCTGCGATGGTCGTGGCTGCTCGGAACTGGATTCGGCGACGGGTCCCCCAGGGAACGCATCTACATGTCTCGACGTGCTGTTCGTCGCTCCCAGGGCGTTCGAAGATCAAGTTGGAGCTCATCTCCGATGGCATGCGCTGCGACCATGTCACAGTCGGTGACCCTGGGGACGTTAGCTGGCGTACCGAGGCTGGCTCAACAGCACACCTGCTGTGGACCGTGGACATCGTCACAGTGATTGTCGTCAACAGGTGTGTGTGTGTGTGTGTGTATTTGGCTTTCGCATCTTTGGATCGTCCGCCTGACGGACAACCTCATGCTGATGGCTGGGATGACGACGGAGGGCCACTCGCGGTCGCCGTCGCGGTCGTGATGTGCTTCCACCTGCCCCTCCTGATCCGTGGTTCGACCCCGGGTGCGATGCATGGGCTACGGCAGCGCTGCAAGGCGGTGGCGGTCGCACGTGCGAAGCCCCACGGCGACATGGAGATGGCGATGCGGTACCGCAGGCCGACAGTAGCGCAGTGCATCTGTTGCCAGAGGTGCCGCCTTTCCCGTTCAACAGGGCGCCGCTGGTCTTCTTACCGGACGGTGCCCACGTTGCGCGTCAGGCGGTTCGTGGTGACGATGAGGGTGATCAAAAATGCGTTGCGCCTTAGCTTCGTTCCCCTGGTGGTTGCACTAGTAAAGCTGCTCGTGGCGCACATGGTATGCTTGATCTGGCTTGTGGGAACATAGAGAGGGTCGATGCTATCCTTCGTGAAGTTCGTCGGCCTCCCTGTGCCTCTCGTCGTACTCGGCCGCGGCCTCCGCCCATCAGTGTGGAGGAGACTGGCGGTGATGATGATCGTCTCTATATCCCTTTTGGTGGTTCTCGCATACCTGCTGGAACTTACTGGGAGGGCCGTTCGCCATTTGCGTGCACTAGAATCGAGCTTCCCGAATACGACCCCGAGCTCGAACAGCTCGATGCGTTCGCCGATTATCCACACTCGATGTGGCAGTCCGCCGCTGGAAATAATCCGCGCGAGCAATACTGGAGTGCCTCCGAACAGAGAAGCCGCTCTGAATTGAATCGCGTTCAACACGATGCCCCCGTCGACGCGGCTAGTAATACTGACAATGCCTTGGCCACTTTCTTCGAGTGAACTTCCAGCTCATGTGCTTCGCCGTGTTCTTGTTGATCGGCCAGTTATTCTTCTTAGGTGTCAATGGCTCCGCCGTACCATTCAGATATTGGTCTGGTTGTTCGGTGGCTCCCTCGGCTTCGCGGGTGTCTATGGCATCTTCGGCGGTGTAGTGTTTCATTCATATTGCTTTCGCTTTCCCTCATTACCCCGTGTGGGATGGTGGAGTCTCGGAGTACTGAGGCACCGTAACTTCGGGGCGGTATGTCAAGAATGTGGAAAACCCGCTGCATCATCAGCATAATCAGCATCAGCATCACCAGCAGCATCATCATCATCATCATCATCATCATCATCATCATCATCATCATCATCATCATCGTCATCCCCTGTTCCTCTTGCTCTCCCTCCACCCCCATTGTCTGCCCCACCTCCTCCCTCTCTCCCCCCCCCGCTTCTCTCCCTCCTCGACCTTCCCATCCCCCTACCTCCTCCCTCATTATTCGATCCTCCTGCCCCCCATCACCCCCCTGTCCCTCATGCTAGGTTCCTCATATTATTTCCCGCCTTCCTCTCCTCAAACATCCCTCGTTTCATCCTTTTGTGCGTCTTCCACAGCTTGCTTTGCTCCCACATCGATCGCATGCTGAGGCGGGCTCCGCCCTGAAGATACGTTATCCTCCTCCTCCTCCTCCTCCTCCTCCTTATCCACAGGCTTGGAAGTAGCATCCTCCTCCTCCTCTTCCTCGTTCTTCCGCCCTCCTCGTCATCCCCCTTCCATCCACCCGTCCCTTTTCCCCCCCGAACCCCACAGGCAGGCCTGGCGCAACCAGCAGCCCGATGTTTGGCGGCGGTACTGCGTCGCGAAGTGCGCCGTATCCGCGTTGTGCAGCGCGTCGCCGCCAGGTCCACGCCGCCCTTGGTGTTGTCATCGTCTCTTGCGTTAGCGCCTTCGCCCTGCTCGTTGTCGCTGTGCCTGTCCTCAGCGGTCGTCGTTGTCCCCCGTCCCGTCTTCCGGAGAAAGGGATCGCCTAGGTGGGAGCAGGGGAAGAGAGGGGTGACGGGGGGAGAATAAAGTGCGATGGGTAAGCAAATCAGGATTACACGAAAGACCAAGGAGACCTGGCGGGGACGCAGGCGCAGTGGGGTCATAACATCCGTACTACGGCTCTCAGTCCTCATCCCCCTTTCAGTTTCCAGTTATCCCTGAAAATGGAGCCTCACTCGCGCACGCGCTCAGAGCTAAAAGGGCAGGCGGCAGCCTGGTTAGTCACAGCCCGCGCCCGCACCGCCGTCATCCTTCTCGAGCCGACAGGGCGGCTGAAGCGCGAGCCGTCTCATCCTGAGAGTCTATGCTGCTCCTCCTCCTCCTCCTCCTCCTCCTCCTCCTCCTCCTCTTCCTCTATCTCCTCCTCCTCCTCCTCCTCCTCCTCCTCCTCCTCCTCCTCCTCCTCCTCCTCTATAGCCGCCTCCTCCTCCTCCTGCTCCTCCTCCTCCTCCCCCCTCCCCCTTCTGCTCGTGTTGCTCCTCCTCCTCCTGCTCCTCCTTATCCTCCTCCTCCTCCTCCTCCTCCTCCTCCTCCTCCTCCTCCTCCTCCTCCTCCCCATTCATCCTAAGAGCAATGCCACTGGGACTAGCTCTGGCCCAATAGCGTTTGGCCACGCTTGCTTGCGTTGAAGCCCCCACCGCCTCTGCACTCGATCCCAGCGGGGGGAAATGTACCCACACCGCTACCCTTCGCCGGTTTTCCTTTTGTTTGGGCCTCCTGGTGCACGCGTCGCCACCGCTGGATTCGCCTCGAAATTCTTGTCAGAACGCTCCCGAGGCAACGAGAGCACCGCCATTTGGGAATTTCTTTTTTTACCACGCGGAGTCGTGAGGGGGTGGGGGAGGGCTCCCAGGGTTGCGCTGGACCGCTTCGCATCCTGGCCCACCTGCGTGTTCCTGCAGCGCGGGCCACAGTCCAAGGCACGTGCCTCCTCTGCCTTTGAATAATTGATGGCAGGCACAGATAACATGCCTGACCAGGTCGACCTCGGCATGACCGAACCAGTTTCCGTGAGCCGCTTGCTTGGCATAGGTCTAGGCTGCACGATTCGTTGGTATTCCGCGTTCATCTGCTTCATCTAGGACTTGGGACTCGTCCTTGTGGGCATTCCCACGCGCGAGCCATCACCGCCCTCTCCGACCCAGTCACCCTCCACGTGGCCCTCCCAAAATTACCATGATGGTACCGAGGCTCAATTGTTTGAGCAGGCGATCCTGACAATGCTTGGCAGATCCAGGGTATGTACCCCAGATTCACTGAGCAGCGTCGCCACAACCCGACCAGCATGCCCCGCTGACACTGCAGCTTGCGACAAGTGTTTAGGACAAGCAGCCTTCAGGCCCCTGAGGAGGGTCCCGTCATACGACACCTCAGCCAGAGCACACCCGACTTTGCCCAAAGCCCAGAGTTGCCGAGGTGAAGACAGTACGTTCCCGAGGACAGTGTGGTTGTTTGGGCCGTAGTTGAAAACTTCGCGCGGGCCCCAACCTTTATCGACATATTGTATTATCAGTTGATTGTTGGTCTAGTCTGTTGCACCGTCATTTTTCAGTTGTGCGGGACAAAGTGGTTGTCTTCCTCTGCCTCGGGCGCTTACCGAAGCACAGCGTTGCTCCAACCTCCAAGATCAATCCCTAGATTTCTTGCCCCTCCTTTATCCATGCCTCTCTTCCCCATCCGCCGTTCCTCCCTCATCCATCCTTCCTCCTCTCTCGTCCGCATCCTCCCTGGCCCGCCGAGCATCTGGAGGACGAGGCCCAGTGGGAGTGATCCTCCTTGTTCCTTTGGCGAGCGGGCTTTCGACGGCTGGTCTTACGTCCATTCAAGTCCGTTGCACTCCCACGACGATTGCTCAACCACCCTCATGCTCCTCTTCCTCCTCCTCCTCCTCATCCCTCTTCCTCGTCTCGCCATAGGTCCCTGTCCACACTCCTCGCCCTGCTCCTGCTCTCCGTCCCCCCCTACTCCCGCTCCTCACGTTGCTGATGCTTCTGCCGCCGCCCTTACGCCTGCACCCGCTCCCCCCCCCTCCGGCTTCTCTCCTCAATGAGGATGGTGATGATGATGGTAATGATGGTGGTGATGTTGGTGGTGATGGCGATATGTGATATAGAAAGAGTTTCGCGCATATCATCAGCATCATCATCATCATCATCATCACCACCACCATCATCATGATGATCATCATCATCATCATCATCATTACCATTATCATTATCATCATCATCATCATCATCATCATCATCATCATCATCATCATCATCATCATCAGCATCATCATCATCGTCATCGTCATCATCATCATTTTGTTCCGTTTCTCCTCCTCCCGCTCGTCCTGCGTTTGCTCATTCCTCCGGTCCCCCCATCAATGATAACGGCGATGATGTTGATGATGATAATGCTGCTGATGGTGATGATGATGATGATGTGGTATAGAACGGGCTTTGCACATCTCAGCATCACCATCATTTTTCGCTTCCCCTTCCGCTCGTCTTGCTTTTGCTCATTGACTAGCTCGGCTCGGTGCGGCCTGCCCTCTCGGATTCCTCCCCTCAGCGATTTTGACGATGATGATGTTGGGGGTGATGATGATGGGCGGTATGGAAAGAATCGTGCACATCATCACCGTCATCATCCTCATCAGCATCATCATCATCATCATCACCATCATCATCATCATCATCATCATCATCATCATCGTCATCATCATCATCATCATCATCCGTAGCCATTTTGGCTCATGGAGGTGCGATCACGGAAGATGTGTCGTCCCATGTGGTTGGCTTTAGCCGTCGCGTTTCTTTCTTGGGCCAGGTTCCATATCAACTCAGTTTCCAGCGAGGCCTTCGCGGCCACAAGTCTCTCAATTCCATAACCCTTCCGACACCTGGCCCCGGTCGCCCGATTGGGAGCCCAGCTGCGGCGGGCCCGACCAATGGCAGGACGTGGTGACGGTGATCGAGGTGCCGCACGTGTTGGCTGCGGCAAAGGCGGTAGCAGAGGAGGGCAGCGAGGCGGTGTCCAGTCAGGCTCGGGGGGGGCAGGCGGCGTCGCCCCCGAGACCCGGGACTGCCCCAGGTGCGGAGCCAAAAGAAGCATTGGGGTTCTCGGCACGTCCGTCGCAGTTGCGGGTTTGACTGGTGGGAGCAGGGATCAGGGGCGAGTTCGCGGTGGAGTGGCATGTCACACCTGGACGCCAAGGAACGGCACGAGCTCAACCGGCTGCGCGTGGAGGTCAAGAAGCTAGAAGGAAGCACTTATTCCCAGGGCTCAGGCGGTGAAGCAAGTTCGGCTTCAGCAGCAGGAGGGCAGCAGCAAGCACCAAAGGACGACCGAGTTCGGCGCCCGGGGAAGCTACGGAGCGAAGTTTGGAAAATCGAGGGCGTGGAGGGCACAGAACAGATCCTGGAGGCCAAGCGGCAGGAGGCACAGCAGTTGGATCACGAGCCCCCAGAGACAAAGCCCACGTCAGTACAGCTCAGCGAATTGGATCGCAAGCAGAAGAACCAGCAGAGCACCACGGAGGCGCTGAACAGAAAGATCTCGGCTGCCGCGCAGGAGATCTCGGACCTGCAGACCGAGAAACTCGAGCTGAAGGGCAGATGCGTGCACAGCAAGACCACGGAAAAGGACCTGCAGGTCCTCATCGGCAACTTCCTGGCCAAGCAGCTTCGCGAACGGGAAGGGCCCGCGCGCCAGGGGGCGGCGGGCGGTGCTCGGGCCCCGGCCTCCCCAGGGGCCACAGGAGCAATGCTCAGCGAAGGCGAACGTGCCACCGCTTTCCTGGCCAGGCCTCGGGCATGCTCAACCGAGGATCCGCACAGCAATGGGATGGGCAGGAGCAGAGCTTCGACGCCTGGCGCACCGCGCGGCACCAGCGGGGGCTGCAGCAGAACGCGACAGCGGCGACGAGCAGGAGCTCGAGGAGGCGGACCTCACCGACATCCTGGACAGCATGGAGGTGGTTGCCGAGGCCGGCGGCGGCGAGGCGGTGGGGGGCGACGACGGCGGCGGCGGCGCCGGCGCCGCCGACCCCGCTGCCCAGGCTGCCGTTCGTACGATGCCCCTCTGGGCCCCTCCAGCTGCAGAGCCTGCATGCGATCCGCTTTCAGGGGACCCCAGCTGCGGCCCGCGTGGCCGACGCGGGGCTACGCGGCACGGCCTCAGCGCGGTTGGCGGGCCACCCCCGCTGCTCACGAAGTGGCCCAGGCAGATGAACGCCGCCCACCACGGACGGGGCCCTGGCAGTAGCCTTAGCCTCAGCTTCCTCCTCAGCAAGCGCCTTGCAGACGCTATTGGACCACGTGGCAATGCCCATCGTGGCGTGGGCCAAGGCCGCGCAGTTCAACTCGGACCGCGCCGACTTGCGGGCGTTGGGCAGCGCCTTCGCAAGTGCCCTCGCGGCGAAGGATGCTGAGGGGCCCGGAGCCCTAGCGGGCAGGGGTCCTGCGGCATGCGTGCTGGCGCGCCATCGCCTGGGCTGGTCAGCTGCTCGGCCAGGGCTCTTCTACCACGACCTTCAGCAACCCATCGACCTGAAGGCCTTGGGTGCATCGACGCTCATCAAGCACATCGCCGCGAGTCACGAGCGGCCCCTGTGGAGGGACGCGGGCAAGCACCCAGACTTAGAGTTTTTGGCTGGGGGGGGGGGGGGGGCTGTCCAGCACTGGGCGCGCCCTGCACCGCAAGAGGATGTGCAAGCAGACGGCCAAGCAGATGAGCTCGACCAAGAATGCGCGGGGGGGCTACCTTTGGCCAGTGGCACGGCGCTTTGCGGAGGAGCGCCCGTTGGCTTCGTCGCCACGGTGCCCCCGAGGATGCAATGCCCAGGTGGCCCACGTCGCAGTGGGACATTTGG